AGAGTGTGGGGGGAAGGTAGACTCCCCACTGAATAGTTTTCATCCTGTATAGATGAATCTAGTGAAAGGAGATGGGGATAAGATTCTTATGACTCAATAATGAGTAATTTTGATTGTCACAACTGTAAAGACAGAAGTTTTGTAACAAAAAGGGGGGAGTTCCAGGAACAGAGGACCCTAGGACCATCAAGGAAGAAGAGCATGAGTGGAATGTGGGACCCCATCCAGAGAAACAGCAACACCAGAAATGGTGGCAGAGATGAGGACATGGAGAGAGAGAGCACCCGAGAACTCTAGACTTGTGGAAATATAAAGGCTGTGTGCTGAAAGCCAGGAGGCAGACTTGAAGAATGTGCCCTTTGGTTGTTTAAATGATTATATAGTCCTGAGTGTTTTTGTGTACATTAAAAAAAAAAAAAACAGAGAGAATAGAAGCAAATACTGTTGAATGATGATGTATGGAAGGGATTGCAATCATTGCAATGAAACGAAATACAATAGGATGAGTATAAAACCAATGTTCTCTCATGTAAACTATCCCTCAAGTCACAATAAAAACATTTTTTAATTGGTTAAAATAAATTCTGCAGCCAGAGTGCAGATAATGTTTTACTAACCCTCATACATGCTTCACAGTGCAGTGACCTTAGATCCAAAGTGCATACTATTCTCCTATCTCTTCCTTCTTGGTGGTAGTAGGACTGTCTGGTCTCTGCTCACTTCTGTTTCTTTCTATCACTTATAAATAAAAGCTGTTGCAGACCACATCCCAGGGAAACTACCTTTACCTTAGATCAGGGTTGTTTAAGGGTGTTGCATCCCATCCTTAATCATCTTATTGGTTTAGTACATCCGATCACATAATGGGGGATCATCATATAACTGCCACATTGCATAACTGCCACATAGCTGCCAAACCACTGAGAGTCATGTGTCATGTGTCAGCCAAGTTGTCACGTATTTTGGGGAGGATACAATCCAATCCGTGGTAAATACCTAGTGAGAAAAATCAGTACAATTTCCAAAAGCAACTGTGTTCTTCCAAGTCAGCAAAGACCTAGTAGGAAAATGCAATGGAAACCATGACACTATTCACAGCAATAGAAATGACCTGAGAAAGAATACTCAATACTTTTATGGGTTTAAAAATTAAAGCATTAAATTCCATTACAGGACATAGTGAAATCTGGATAATTGGAGAGACATATTGTGGCCAAGAATGGAGTGGTATTTCATAGTGAAGTTATTATTTGTATTGCAAAACAATATGCTCAATGTATTCTCAATCAAAACTCCAGATGATTCCTTTTGAAATCCATATATAGCTTAGACAATTATGAAAACAGAATTGCACAGGAAAACAAAATGTCTATACTGTTGTCAAATTTGACAAAATGATGTTTCAGGGAAACTACCACCTAAATATTACATATACAAAACTATAATAAAGCAAAAAGTATGGTAATAGCACATGAACAAACAAGGCCAAGGAACAAAAAGAAGAACTCAGAAAGTATGAATACTGATCCACCACCTATCTGCCAATTTGTCTCTTTTTTGTTGTTGTTGTTAGTGGTTTTCATGTTGCTATGATGCTGGAAACTATATTACCAACACATATGCCAAATGGTATAGGGTCACCTATGGTGAGGAAGTTTTAGTGGATCTTCCAGACTAAGACAGATAAGGGAAAGAGGTGATCTACTTCTCAAAATTAGCCAAGGAAAAACATATCAATCACAATAGAATACTATTCAAAAAAGGGATGGAAGATGGACATCCTAGGTCGGAAGTTACTTAAAACCCACAATGGCTACAACAATGGACTAGAGCATAACAATGATAGTGAAGATTGTATAAGACCAGGAAAGTTTCATTCTGTTGGACACAGGGTCACCATGAGTCAGAGCCAACTTGACAGCAAGCAGCACCATGCATGCTGATATATAATGAGAATGGTTGCAAAATGCCAAGAAAATTGATAGGAACATGGTAATAGCAAAGCATAATAATTCAGATGACCCCCAATTTCTGAAGAGACATTCAAGTTCATTAGTAATTGGAGCATTTGAATTCGAATGAAGAGGTATCATGTTACATGCCATGCTACACACTTCACAATGCCAAGATTATAAAGATCAATGTGTAAGAACATCCTTGCTGGGAAGGCAAATATGGAACTGGAGTTGGAACCACTTAAAGGATGGGAAGCTGAGCCTGCCCTTGGGTAGAGAGGAATTGAGGCTGGCGGAAGAAAGGAGCACAGGAAAGAATGGCTTTCTATTGCCAATGCTGTCTACTCAGGCTCCCTAATGGACTTCAGCCTCCTAGATTTCCTAGCCCTTTGAGATGACTGGTTTAAGGAGGAGCCTGATCAAACCCAGTCTCCCAGATCTGTGTCTCATCATATCCTCTGGTTCGGTGGTGGGCAGTATCAGTGACATCTCCCCAAGTCAGTGACATGCCAATGTGAGAGCAGCACCCTCCTCTCACATACTGCAACTACTACTCAGTTTATAGGGCTATCCAAGACCTGGAGTAGAAAGGCAGACACATGTATTCAAACACACACATACATACATTCACACATGTGCACACACATATGCACATACACATGTTTAGTGGCAGAATCTCTCCTGATACACTGGAGTGAAGGAGCAGTACTGTGGGCCACAGGAATGGGGACAACTGGACAGGGACTCAGACATTAGCTCCAGTTGTGCACACAAGTAAGGGTGTGGAAAGCTCAAGAGCAAAGTTTCAAGGAAGACTGAACCATATGACTGCTGAACTAGCCCAGGAAGATGTCAGGCAGGAAGGAGGCAATAAGGCCTACTCCCTGCATAGGAAAGGGGCAGACAAAAGCATATTTCTGGAGCCTGGGTAAACCCACAGCACCAGGAGTTTGGGTACAGAATTGAGTGTCTCTCCTGGGCCTGATGGGAAAAAGAAGGGAGATTAAAATGTTTTCTTCAGGAATGAGAAGGATTCCTAGAAGCAGCAGAGTGGAAAACGTTCCTTAGGGCACAACCATTGCTACCAAAAAAAAAAAAAAGCACCACCAGCAGAAGTTGGTATGTAATAGTTGCTGTGTGAGACCAGGGCAGGATGCTGAACATTGAGACCTTGAAGTTTTCATGGTCCTGAGGAAAATAATCAAGGAGACATCCAAGGGTGTCCACCATCCCCCAACTCTATAAACAAACGTGTGTGTTTGCTGGGGCCTGGGGCCCCTACCTGAGTCCAGATACTCTCTGGGCAGGCCTGACACCCTCTCCTCTGTAGTTTCACTAAAAGCATGAATCCTTCCAGGGAATACAATGCTCCCCACACATCTGTCCCTGGGATGGGAATAGGGCAACACAGATCAAGAAAGCTTAATCTAAGGAAGCAGAGGGGTCATTTTTCTCCAGCTTCAGTTTCCCCAGACTGAGTCAGAGTGCAGGGTCAGTTCCACAGCACTTGTCATCCAGCAGGAAAGCTTCCTGGGTCATCCAGTTGGGTCAGTCCCACCCAGCCCACCCCACAGCAGGTAGACAGTCCTCAAGTGGGTCTCCTAATGATTCCGGACACCCCTGCAAAATAGCAGGGCTGGGAAAGCTGTCTCTGCTCAACCACCCACCACAGGGTGTCCCAGATTCAGGGACAGGCTCCAGATATCACCCAGCTGCCTTCCTTTCTCCAGTGTCCATGTTTGAACCCATTCTGGCTCACTGGGCCTGGCAGGTTTCCCTTGGCCTTTCTACCAGGGTGTATCCAGGATCAAGGCCTGCAATACATCAATGGTTTTCACCAATGATTCACTTACCAGACACTAGTGGAGCATTCACACCAGAGACTGTGGAGGTCCCCAAGAGGACCACTGAATCTAGTTCCAAGCAGCAGCATCTCTACTGCACCACAATATACATGTGCCCCTGAAGCTTACTGTCTCTGATTTCCAATCCGCCCCAACTTACCTTCCAGCCCTGATATTCTCTGCTCATCCCTGTGCCTTCAGCACATCCCACCTAACTGGGAACGACAGGCTGCAAAGCAGCGAATGCACCTCTGCATGGATGCAGGGTGAGGCCATATGCTAAACTTGTGCCTCAGGAGCCTGCCTGACTTTCATGCATTTACCCCCAGCTAACTCACAACCAACTCCACGGCACTTAACAACAACAACTCACACTTACAGCCAATCCTTGGGGCAGCCTGATAATGGGAACATAACCAAAGCACCAAGAAAATTCCTACATGCAAGATTTGGGAGTAGTGCATGTGACTTCCTGATTTCTTAGTGCCCTACCCATTCCTTACAGAACCCCAGAAAAGCAGATGTGTCTAGGATAGACCCTCCTCCACCACAGTTAGTGATTTCCAGGTTTGGGGTGATATCCATTCATGCTTGCAGACCAGGATCACCAAGTCTACACAGAAGATTAGGGCATGAGGGGGCAGGAGCAACAGGAGCAGAGAGGGAGACCTCGCCAGGACACCTGTGCACTCCCAGTTAAGGGGCCTCACCTGGACCCATCACCCTCAATAGATTTCCCAGGAACCAAAAGAAAAGGGAACTTCCGGGGCTGCTGCAGCCCTGGGGGTTCCCGCCCCATTTTTAGCTGAGAGCACTGAGGCAGAGCTCCCTGCCCCCAACCTTCTTCTCTGGATGTAAAAATAACTGTGATGGTTTCTAACAATCTGCTTTTGTCTAGGAGCCTTCCCCAAGGCAGGAGATTGGGCAGAGTATTCTGGGAGCCTGGGGACAACCATGACCAGTTGGGACTCCAGCCCTAGGATTCCCACATCTCAGGTATCCTGGACCTCTATGAGTCCTAAAAGAGGGGCTGGGTTAAGCTGCAGTAAGGACCAGACCACCTGTCACTGGAAAGGGAGGAGAAAATCAGGTTGCCTCTTTACATGGACTGAGTCTCTTGGTCACTGTGATTCCTCCCAGCATCCTTTCCCCGTTTGGAGACACAGGATAGCAGGGAAGCAGGAGACTGTATAAGACCAACATGGAGATCGCAAGTAGCCAAGGTCTCAGACAAAACAGGAAGGGTTCAATGCGGAGGCAGCTAAGGATAGCTCCAAGGTCTTAAATGGCCATGGCTAGACTGGAACAGGGAGGAGGGATCTGTCTGCAACAGGATGGGAATGGGATGTGCCTTTTCAGAGTCCTGGCAGGGTGTGAAGGATCAGGGAGTTGTGCTGTACTGACTGCATGATGAAGGCTGTCCTAAACTATGGCTTCTCTACGGGGACGGGCTGAACTGGATTAGGCTGAATGACTGGACTGAATAGGAATGGGTTGGATTGATCCAGTTGGACAGGACTGAGCTGGCTGGATTCAATGTGGCTACTGCAGTGCACTGAGTGAGATGTGTGAAGGGAGATAGGCTGTCCTGGGCTTAAGTGGGTCAAACTGGTCAATCTGGGCAGTCCTCAGCTATTCCTGGCTAAAGTGCCTAAGCTAAACTATCCTAGACTGAATTGATATGAGATGGTCTGGGCTGGACCAAGCTGGGAGAAGCTGGAATCCACCTGGTTGTGATGTTAGGGTGAGCTAAGAGGAATTAAATTGTCTATCATCAATTGGGCTGAGCCAGATTAAGCTGGATGATTCTAAACCATGCTTAACTGAGGTGGACTGAGCTGAGGGAGCTAGATTTCCCTAGGTTAGGTGGGCTGTCTGGACTACCAGTGAGGCAAGGTGAAGCTGGTACAGGAAGAGCTGAGCTGAGGCTTGGCTGAAATATTCGGAGTTGAACTAAATGAGGATGATCTAAACTGAGCTGCACTGAGCTGAATCAGAAGAAGCTGGGTACAGCTAAATAGGAATTTGTTGTTGTTGTGAAGTGCCATCGAGTCGATTCTGACCCATAGTGACCCTGTATAGGGTTTCCAAGGAGCAGCTGGTGAGCTTGAACTGCCAACCTTGCAGTTCTAGATGGGCTAAATGGACTGCCTTTGTCTGCCTGATCTAAGATGAATTATATTGGGTTATTCTTGGCTGAGCTGGGCTGAACTGGGATGGGCTGGCCTTTTGGGTTGGACTGGGCTGAGCTGGGTTGATTGATCTTGGTTTTTCTTTGCTGAGATGAGTTAGCCTGTGCTGGGCTGGGGTGGGCTAGGGTGAGCTGAGTTGGGTTGGTCTGGGTTTGTTAGTTGATCTGGGCTCTGGTAGTGCCAACTAAACTGAGCTAGACTGGGCTGGCTAGCTACACTAAAGTGGACTGACCTGACCTGGGTTAGGCTAAGCTACACTCTGTTAGTCTCTGCCTGGCTGGGCTGAGAAAATGAGGCTTAAGTGAGCTAGGCTGATTTGATTCCATTTGGTTGGACAGGGATATGCTATTCTAGACTAGGCTAACCTGGACTGGACTGGGCTAACTGTACTCAGGTAGGTTTAACTAGACTGGACTAGGCTAAACTTGACTAGCCCAGGTTAGAATAAGCTGAGCTGGAATGGGCCTGCTGGACTGAGATGGACTTGCCTGAGCTAAACTGGGATTCGCTGAACTGAAGATGTTGTTGTTGTTATTAAGTGCCATCGAGTCGGTTCCGACCCATAGCGACCCTGTACAGGGTTTCCGAGGTTGTAAATCTTTACGGGAGTAGAAAGCCTCATCTTTCTCCCACGGAGCCGCCAGTAGTTTCGAACCGCTGACCTTAGGGTTCACAGCCCGATTCGTAACCACTACGCTACCAGAGCTGAAGATAGTTGAACTAAACTAGACTAAATTGACTTAGACTGCACTGAATTGGGCTGGCATGATTGGGCTGGTCTGGGCTTAGTATAAGACTGAATTGAGTAAGGATGAATTAGACTGAGTTCTGCTAGGCTGAGCTGGACTGACGTAGATTTGGTTTGGCTAGGCTTAGCTGGGATGGTCTGAGCTGAACTGGACTTGATTTGTTTTGGCATGGCTTGCCTGGGCTGGGCTGGGCTGGGTTAGGCAGGACCTGGCTGGGCTGGACTAGGTTTAGCTGGGAACACATGAGCTGGTCTAGGTTTAGCTGGGAAAGTTTGGGCTGATCTAGGCTGGTCATATTGGTGCATATCTGGTTGCCTGGAATGTACTATGGTTAGTTTCTCTGATCTGGTCTGGGCTGAGTTGAGCTGGTCTGTGCTTAGCTGGGCTGAACTGACCTGGACAGCACTGGACTGAAAGGATTCTGCTTGAATGGGCAGAACATGCATTTATTTGGTTTAGCTGGGATGGACTGACTTGGGCTGGAGAAAGCTGGGATGATCCAAGCTGAACTAGGCTGGTCTAGGTTGATCTGAGCTTGTCTAAACTATACTCAGTTGGAGTGGGCTGGTCTGTGATAACCTGACCATCCTTCTTTGGTTGGGCTGGGCTGTGCTGATCTGGACTGAACTGGACTGGCCAGGGCTGGACTAGCCTGTATTAGGCTAGACTGGACTTGGCTGGGCCAACCTGAACAAAGCTGGACTTGCTTGGCTTGACTTGGTTTAGCTTCACTGGCCTAGATTGGCCTGGGCAAAGCTTGACTGGGCTGAGCTTAGCTAGGCTGGCCTGAGCTGAGCTGTGATGGCTTGGGAAGACCTAGGCTGGGCAGGTTGGAGCTGGCCTGGCTTGACTGGGATGTACTAGACTAACTTAAATTTGTTAAGTTGATGTGGGCTGAGGTGGCCTGAGCTGACCAGGCTCTGTTGGGCTAGACAGATCGGAGCATAGTTAACAGAGCTGTACTGTTTTTTGTTTTGTTTTTAACTTGTAGCCAGTACAATACGAGGCTGATCTGGGAACCAGGACTAGGATGGGCCAGGATATTGGAAGCTCCAAGACCAGGAGATGGTGGCAGACATGTATACCAACTAGTTGGCTATTTGGGAGAGAGATTTATAATACTTATGATATGTGCTGGTTGGGTCTTTGCCCTCTATCCATGGGTTCCAAGGTCAGGTCTGCCCCTTTCTTAAACATAGCTGGGGCCCCTGAGAGGCCAATACAGAAGGTGGAGCACTGGAGATTTGGCTGCTCATGGAAAAGCAGTCAGGAAACTAAGAAGCTGATTTTGAAGGTGTCAGCATGCAGGAGACCCAGAATGGGCAGGATCGGAGCCTGACCACAGTTAGTCCTAGAAGGACATTGGAGTGAAGGCACATAGGGGACATATGGTGATCCTTCAGGGGGTTCTCTGGTCCCTGCTCCCTACTGAAGATGGATTATGAGAGTAGAGGACAAAGGAGAGAGTCTGGTGTGTGTCCTCAGACCAGTGGGGGTCTACAGATGGGTGGTCAGAGGAAACAGCCTGGTGATTCCTAAGGTGGTGGCCTCTGGACCTGAGTTCTGAGCCTCAGTCCTGGTGAATGGACCAGTACCTCTGCTTCTCACTTAAGTGCCAAGGGTGGGTATGTCCCAAGAATGCCCTTGTTCTTGCGTGTGACCTGAAGGTAATGACAAAGTATCCAGGACCTGGGACCTGTGCGGAAAGAAGCAGCATCAGACAGTGGGAAAATAATCCAAAATGACCCCTTGATTGGAGCCAAGTGTACATGCCTTAACCTTTTCACTATGTCACAGTCACCCCAGGTCCTCCTCTCACCCTACACACAGACCCAGGGAACAGTCATCCTGGCGCCTGAGGATGATGTTCCCATCTAATGCTGATCTTCAATCCTGTCCACACAGAATCCATCAAAGGCCCCTCTGTCTTTCCCTTGGTTTTATGCTGTAATGATAAACCCACTGTGACATTGGGCTGCCTGGCAACTGACTTCATCCCAGAGCCAGTGACCATTGACTGGGACACTGGTTCCCTGAATAGCAGTACTGTGTCCTTCCCTGCCACCTTCCGTGAGACCTCCAAATCCAACATCGCTGTGGGTCTCGTGACTGTGTCTGGTGAGTGGTCCAAACAGAAGTTCACCTGCAGCGTGAAGCATGAACTGTCCAACAGTAACATCAAGAAGACCATTACAGGTGAGCAAGGGCTGGGTCATGACAATCATAGTAAGAGAAGCCAGAGTTGCAGACAAGAAAAGCCTACCACAAATTAACAAGCTGATACTGAGGCACCTCTAGGGTTTGTCTCAATGAGGCCAAGAGAAGACTGGACTTGCCTAGTAGAGGCAGGAAATAATGGGCCCAAATGCTACTGTTGCTGTTCTGGGTCCTGAGCTGGTACCTAGGGGTGGACTGGGGGACTGATAGAAGGGAACACAGGCTGGGTCACAGAACTCAAGGGGTTATCATTAAAACTAGCTGATGATCTTAGCATCCACTTTCCCTCCACAGCCCCAACCCTCTCACTTTCACCCTGTTCCACCTCTCCCACTGTGAAGATCTACCATGCAGCCTGTGATCACCGTGGCTATTCCCAGGCCACCATCCATCTGCTTTGCCTCATTACCAACTTTGCCCCGGGGAATGTTGAAGTCACCTGGCTAGTAAATGGAGAGAAAGATCAAAACCTCAACTCAATCACAGCCCCACTCAAGCAGGATGGCAAGTTGGCCTCCACCTACAGTAAGCTCATAATTACCAAGGACCAGTGGATACCAGAAAAGAACTACACCTGCGAGGTCACCTCCCACGGCAGGTCCTATAAATCCACTACCCAGATGTGCTTAGGTATGAACCCAACATTTACACAGATGCTTACTTTCTGCGATGGGTCAGGATCTCATATGTCTTTCATCCTGCCCCTCCCACCCACAGATCCTGAATCCAGAGGAGTGAGTGTCTATCTCAGCCCTCCCAGCCCCACTGACCTTTACATAAAAAATTCACCTAGGCTCACCTGCCTAGTGGTCGACTTGGCCAGTGAGAAGGGGGTGAGTGTAAATTGGTCATGGAGCAAGAATTTTGTGAATGACAACAAGTTCAATGTCAGGAGGCAAATGAATGCAACAGTCACCATCACATCTACCCTGCCAGTGGACGCCAAGGACTGGATCCAGGGCGAGACTTACCATTGTGTGGTGTCCCACCCACATCTGCCCAGGGAAATCGAGCAATCTATCTCTAAGCCCCAGGGTGAGGCAGGGGCAGATTGGGGTGGTGATGGATTAGGTAGGCTTAATGGGACAGGCCTTCTGACTCCATGTTCCCTCCCACAGGCAAGCGTTTGACCCCTGATATCTACGTGTTCTCACCACCTGAAGATAAGCAGGGAGATAGGTTCATCCTTACCTGTCTAGCCCAGAACTTCTTCCCCTCCGACATCACAGTGCAGTGGCTGAGCAACCAGAATCTCATAGAGTCAGAACGGATCCACACCACTGGGCCCTATCCGACCAGCAACTCTAGAAAAACATTCTTCACTGTTAGTGTCCTGGAGGTCCAGAAGTCTGAGTGGGAGAAGAACAGGTTCATCTGCCGTGTAGTCCATGAGGCACTGTCCAATGGGAGGATTAAGGATGTAATGGTGTCAAAAAACTCCGGTAACTGATACTTCCTACCTTTAATCCTCCTGGGCGCTATCTCCTGGGGAGGAGAAAGGGACTGATCAGACTTTCCCTCAGCTGTGTAATAACTCTTGAAGCCACTCCAATAAATACCCAGAGCCTGCCTGGAGCCCAGGGCCATTCTTACAGAGGGAGGAGGAAGGCACAGGATGGCCTTGGCCCTGGACCCCATGATAAAGGGGTCCACAGGGGAGGAACGCAAGGGGCTCAATATGCTCCATCTGTATACCTGTGTGTCTGAGAGTGCTTATCTTGCTATGTCCATGGGGTTATACTCCCCCACTCTATTCTGGTCCTGGTCTATTCACAAGATTCCTAAGGGCCAGAGAGAATATTCCTTCAGGAAGCCTAGCCCAACCGCTGAGGCTTCTCTCTCTGCTGGAAATCCCTGGGTCTCATCCTCAGCTACAGATTGCTGCACATCTCTGAGAGACACAAGCAAGATTTTCCACTCACTGGGGTCTTGCCCAGTCAAAGTACACAAAAACAAACCCTGTGGGTTAGGGAAAGTCAGAAAGTTAGACCCCCCTCACAGATGTAGACACACAGGGACTCTCATCCATTTCCCCACCTGTGTGCACAACTACACATCTACATACATCACACAAGCACATATGCATACTGCAAACCTACCGTACACACACATACCCCAGACCCATTAGATACACACACAACAAACCTACCACACAGCCTTAGCACAGGAGGTAACCTCCAATCCTGTTCCACTCACAGAATGATCACCCAGGAGCCTATCCAGCTGCCTAGGCCTCACCCAAGTACAGAATTGGCCTTGAATGTGCACCCCAGCCCACACCAGTATTCAGCAGTTGTCACCACGGTCAAACCCTCCCCCTCATGCTACACATGTCCCCACATCCACACTGAACCTTGTGTCCCTCCTTCTGCAGCACCAACAGCTGCACCCATACACCCCCATGCAGTGGTCTCACACACACACAGCCAACAACTCCCTACTACAGAGGCCTCAAACCAGTCTGAAATCCACGATTCTAACACAAATATTTACTGTGACCGCCGCCTCCCCTAGCAAACACAAGTCTGTCACACATGCACACTGCTCCTGTCATCTGCACTTTACAAGACACACACACATGCACACAGCCAGCTTTGTCTGGGCCTTGAGTGTGTACACAGAAACAAGGAAACCATCCTAGAGCAGGGGTTAAGTTTTATGCTATCTCCTATGGACCAGCGCTAAGGGGTCAAGGGCACTAATACCCACAACCCAACCTGAGTTCACCTCCAAGACACACATACCAGACTCATCATACAAATATACTCCTGACCATCACACTCATAGCAAACCCATTATGCACATACACAAATACATACAAACACACCAACTGATCACATGCAAACACACACTCAGCCAATCATAAGCACACACATACCCTAGACCTATCATAAATGTATACACCAGACCATCATGCACACACACTTTAGACCCACTATGCAAACACACACACACACCAAGTCTTTCATACATACACATGCCAAGCCCTTCACCACAGACATATACACACATACTAGACCCACCACACAGACATAGCCAAAATCTATCACACATACTCAAAACACAGACATATATAGCCATACTATCATACCCACCCATAAACACATGCCAAACCTCTCTCCCCTACATATGCATATACATCGTCACACATATATTTCATGACCACCCACCCGACACACATGACCCGATAAAGAAGCACAGCCCAAACTCATCACACTCGTAAATACTTAATTACATACACACCCAACCACCATCACACACATACACAGCCTCTACAACAAATCCCAACAACCATCACAAACATGAACACCAAGTCCATCACATAAGCACATGACAAACCCTTTACAGGAGCTTGGTAGCATAGTGGTTATGAGTTGGGCTGCTAACCTCAAGGTCAGTTAGTTCAAAACTACCAGCAGTTTCACAGGATAAAGATGAGGCTTTCTGCTCCTGTAAAGACTTACAGCCTCAGAAACCTATACAGGGTCGCTATAAGTCAGAACCAACTCCACAGCATACCACCACCACCACCACCAAGCCCATTATACATAAACACATGCCAAGTCTATCACACATACACATGCCAAACACCAAACACACACACACATATATATATTATATATACACACACATATTATGTTGTTGTTGTTAAGTGTCATCGAGTCAGTTCTGACCCATAGCAACCCTGTATAGAGTTTTTGAGGAGCAGTTGGTGAGCTTGCAGTTCAAACTGACATTGCAGTCCAGCACATTAACCCAAAGTGCCATACCCACCACAAATCCATACCCCAAATCCATTACTCACCTCAAACCTATACACATAAAACCTAGACCTATCATACCAAACACGCACAGTGATCTCATTACATACATAATAAACCATGCAAAAATGCATACACTAAGCCCATTAGAACTACACATACCCCTACCCATGACACACAGAGACAATAAACCCACCACATAGCAGAAACAACCACATTCATCACATGAGGGCAACAGAGCATGCACCACATATACACTGCTCACTCTGGAAACTTCAATCATGCACAGGTCTAGGAACATGCACTAAAATTCTATCTCACTCTCTTCAGAGAATGAACTCCACAGGACCTATGCACACCCGCATTCCTCATAACCGAGATCTCGGCTTTCTCACTCCACCCTGAGCCAGGAGAGGAGAAACACCCTGGGCCAGAAGAGAGATCCCCACAGTCCTGAGCCAGGAGAAGCAGGGGGAAGGCCTTGGTCTGGCCTGATAGGACAGCCTACTGGTTGACCCCTCAGTCTTAGCCCATGTTGATGAGAGCTGATTATGAGGGGAAAGACAAGAGGAGAGAACCAGTAGAGGATGCTTCTATGGGTAATGGTATTGGAAGGAGCAGGCTAGAGCAGGATGTCCAGGCCCCACACAGGGCCATAGGAGTAAGGGGCAGCAGGGGCAGTATGGGCCATGGCCCAGGCTTTGATATCTACTCAAAAATCCAGCCTTGGTCCTACTCAGTATGCATTTCCAATGCCCTAAGGGACAGATCCAGTCCCACCAAAATCCTAACTCCATATTCATGGGGCCAGAGCCTGTCCCATGTCCTGTAAGTGTGCTATACAGTCTCATGCTTACTACTGAGACCAGAGTTGGTTGTGTGCCTTCTAGGGTACTTGAGGTTGGTGAAAGCTGAGGCAGCACAGGACAGAGGTGGAAGGTACAGGTAAAAGGAATGATTGATCCTGGGAGCTTTCATGGATAGTGTGGGTAGAGGGACTTTCCTGCCATGGGTGATGCAGAGCCCTTCTCAAGGAGAGAAGGGGTTGGGAAGGGAAAGAGCCAGGGCTGAATGGAGGTGACTAGCAGTAGAGAAGGAGAGAAGATACAGGGTTATCTGGCAAGGAAGGATATATGAGAAGAGGTTCAACCCGAAGTTCAGGAAATGGTAGGCTGCAGGAAAAGACAGGAATGGAGACCGCTCCTACATGAGCACAGCAAATCAGGGAGCTTTCATTACAGTTTGATGTGACTCTGGGGATTCCAAAGGAAGCCAAACAGGGTGCTCCTACCTCTGGGCTCTAAACAGTGAGGACATCAGGCCACAATTATTTTTACCTCCTGGGGGTAACTCAGGTCTTCCTTCTTTCATCATTGTGCTGAGGTTGGGGCTAACTGATCTGTCCCCCAGAGGTAGACCTTCAGGACCTGTGTGTGGAGGAGACTGAGAGCAAGGAATTAGAGGAGCTTTGGACCAGTACCTGCATCTTCATCACTCTCTTCCTGCTCAGTGTGAGCTATAGTGCCATGATCACAGTCTTCAAGGTCAGGCACAGGCAACTGGACTGGGGAAGGGAAGGGAAGCGAAGAGGAATATCTATCTAATGGACTGATCTCAATTCTACTCCCTTTCAGGTACAATGGGTCTTCTCAGCCATGTTGCAGAGGAAGCTCCAGAATTCACATGATTATAATAACGTCATGTAGCCTGTTACCTGGACCAGAAAACCTAACTGGTGCCAGACAACTAGAATGATGACTGGGGCCAGTGACATTCCATTCAACTCTTTCCTTCTCTGTCTGAACCCAAGGGCTGCTCAACTGCCCAAAGACTGACTACTTCACCATGGCGGGAAGAGGACAAAATGGGAGCAGTCAAAACCCCAAAAGGCCTCTCATAGACTGATTGCCAGCCTCAGGGCTCAAGGTACCCTATAAGATCCTCCAATGACAGCCCTCATGTCCCTCACTTTGAGACAGGCTCCAGAATAGTTCCTGTCCCTTTTATGGAGTGACCTTGGCTAGGGGTCAAGAGTTTTGATCACATTGGATTCCACTCAATCATTCCTGTATTGATTGAACAACCATCTTAACACATGAGGATCCAGAGCCCAATCTACCACCAAGATCCCCTATCCCCCAGCCAACCATCCAAAGCCCACAGTCCACAGTCCAATGGAGGACCCAGAGTCCAGAGTCTGGAGCCCAACTCAGGACCGACAGTCCAACTCAGTATCTATGTACCCAGAGCCCAGAATCTAGAACCTATGTAAGACCCAGATCCAATAGTCTAGGACTCAACCCAAGACCCAGAGTCTAAAGACCAATCCAGGATCCACTCAGCCTACAATCCACAGCCCAACTCAAGACCCAGACCAAGGACCTACAGTTAGAATCTTGAGCCCAGCCCAGAATCCAGAACCAAATCCAGAACATAGATTCCAGCCCAATTCAAGATTATGACCCTGCTCCCCTGTGTCAATCAGGCCTCCCTTCCTTTCATGTCCATATCTCCTGGCCCCTGTGACTACTCACCCCTCCTTTTTCCCTCCCACCCACCTTTCTTGATGTCCACCCCTGGCCCAATATCACTTTGGATGGAGAAGTCAATGAAACTCTTCTGGAGAGGATTCACATAACTGTCTGGGACTGTGGTAGGACCTAGAGGGTGGAAGGGGCAGAGCTAGCATCCCACAGGAGAAGTGGATTTTAAGATTAGGTCCATAGGTTACTCATTATCACCCATCCTCTCCCCTGGCCTTGGAAATTCTGCTTCCTTCCACTTAGAATTCTTAGTAAAGTTCCTTTCCACAACCCTCTCTCTTGGACACCTGAGCATGCTTTGGGGTAGGCGTCTTCATAGCTGGTATAAACACAGGAAAATATGCTTTATTATCACTTCATGACAAAGATTCCTTTACACACAGAGTGGCCTGAGGACAGTAGGTTCCCCAAAAGGAGACCAACTGGTCAGCAGCACAAAGATAATGTTCCAAAAATTAGAAAAATGACAGTAAGAAGTAGACTGAGGAGAGGGGTACTGTCTAATGCTTCTGAGCTGTTAGGGCCACTACCCAGAACAAGTGACCATATCTCCATCCCACAAGTGCCCATATCCTTAGTGACCCTGAAGTAGACCCTCCTGTGGCACTGAGGCAGGTGCAGACCCAGTCTGAGGATGTGAGGACAGTGACAGAAAAGAGCCAGGAAATGAGCTCACCATACACAGACTGCCCAGGATCTATCCTATCCTCCTGACCAAGGTACTCTCAGTCCACCCTCCTCATACAGCACAGAAAGATTTGCAATAGCTTGAACCTCATCTGATCACTCAGTCCTAGGAAGGACTGACCTCTCTCCATTACACCTACCTACTCACTTTTTCTCCCTATGGTGACATTCCTGGGACATGAAATATCTGGATCCTGTGTGTGCTTTCAGATCTCAACTATGGACAGATGGATAGATTAATAGCTTTAGGTATGGATGGATGGGTAACTTTATGGATGGAGGAATGGATAGTTGGATGCATTATGGGTAGCTTCATTGGTAGATGACCTGGATGGATGGACAGATTGAAGGATAGATGAATGATGGATGGATGGACAGATAGATGAGTGAGTAGATGAATGGAAGGAAAATGGATGGGTAAATGGATGGGTGAATTTTGGGGTAAACAAGGTATAAATGCCCCCTTTGTGTGCCCAGATAAGGGTGGCCATCAGAGGAGACCAGGAATGGTCTGCACACAAACAGACAAGTAATAGCATAGGCAGCCTCTGTGGGGTCCTCATGATGAAGGCCAATATCAGGAAAACCTTGTATAGAAAATTGTGGGGTGGGGCAGACTGTAGACAGGAAAAGGCCATGCTCTGACACCTCATCCCACCTACTGGGCCTCCAGCCTCTGAGACAGGTACAGACTCCATTTGCCCTTGGATGTTGATGGGTCCTTGACAATTGCTGGTGGCACTGGTAGAAGAGCAATACCATGTCATAGCCATGGCTGGTGTGGTCCCAGCCCCATAACCCTAGAACTCAGTGTCCTACTCTAAAGGTCTCACTGAAGGTCTTCTCTGAGGCCTCCATGAAAGGTCCAGTCCTTTGTCCCCACCTCACTGGGATCCTGTCCTTAAAGACCAGACTAACCCTGTCCCTCTGTATTCCCTGTCTCTGTTGACCCTCCTAGGGTCCTGTTCAGCTTTTGCTCTATTTCTCTATATTCATCTTTGGGCTCATCTCTGTATAATGTCTCGGAACTTCCAATCCTCTATAGTTCCATCTCTTCCTGGCATTTACCCTGAGCCCCATTTTGTTGTCAGCAACCTGGACAATTGTCCCATCATGTCCCTTCCCTCCAACTCACAGTCTCAGGTCAGGCCAGGTTTCTGAGGAGTTACAGAGCCCAAGCTTCACACCTGGTCCTGCCACAGCCAGACCACAGACTAGACATGACGTGGGGGTACAGCCATGTCTTCTGGGACAGGAAGTGGTCAAGTGACCCCACTGAACCAGACACACAGTCACACAGTCCTTCCCTATCCTGCATCTCTCAGCAGGCATCAGCCCAATCTCACCCCATATAACATCACCTGGTCCTACAGCCTACAAAGAGGTTGGCTGAGACCTCATGACCATCAAGTCAGGGCCTAGACAAGGTCTGAACCTCCTACCTAACTCTAACCAGAAAGCAGAGGACCATGAGGATAAATGTACAATATGGGAAGCAACCTGACCTAAAGGTTGCCTGGGTCCCTCTCAGCAGAAGATGAACACTTTAGCAACCTGAGCAGGTAGGTTGCAAAAACTTTCAGTTCTCTATCTTTACCTCTGAATAATGAGGAGTCTCTGCAACCTCAGCTAGGCCAGTATTGAGCATTCCTGAGGCAAGAGAACTGTGAAAACCCACACTAATGGGAAAAGGAGTAAAAGATGTCACACAGAGCAGAAGGACCCACAAGCCAAGTGGGTGTGAAAGGAAAGTCAGAGCTGGGCAGGTATGGGCTAGATTGAGAAGTGATAAACTTAGAAGGACTTATCTGAGATAAATTGAACTGAACTAGACTGAGCTGGGTGGGCTAAACTGAGTATGGCTTGACTGATGTGAGGTGTACTGAGCAGAATTGACCAAAAAGTTGGGCAGAACTGTGGGAATGGACTGGACTTGGTTGTGCTGGGTAGAATAGGGCTGGACTGAGTTGGGCTGGATCAGACTGAACTGGGCTGAGTTGGGCAGAATGAAGCTGAGTTGAACTGGACTGGGATGGAATGAACTGGGCTAACTTGCCTGGTCTGGGCTAGCTGAGTTGAACTGAACTGAGCTGGACTAAGCTTGCCAAGCTGCGGTGATCTGAGCTGTTCTGGGCTGAACTGAGCTGGACTAGCTGGGCTGAGCTAAGTTAAGCTGAGCCTTGCTAACTGGGCTGGGCTAGGGTTTACTGGGTTAAGTTGGGTTGAGCTAAGCTAATATGAGCTAGGTTAGCTGGACTGAGCTGTCCTGGTATGAAATGGTTGTGCTGGTCTAAACTCTGCTGACAGGCTGGGTTAGGTTGACCAGAGCTATTTGGCTATTTGGGCTGGGCTAGTTTCTATTGGGGAGTCCTGGTGTGGCGCTGTAGGTTAATGCACCAGGCTGCAAAGCCGTTTGAACTTCAAGGTTGGCAGTTCAAGCTCACCAGCCGCTCCTCGGAAACCCTATACAGGGTCACTATGGGTCGGAACCAACTTGATGGTACTTAACAGCAGCAGCAGTTTCTGTTGGACTGAGTTGGGTTAGCATGTATGACTGACTAGCTGAACTGAACTAGGCTGGGCTAAGCTGAATCGGACTGAACGTAGCAGGTGGGACTGGACTGATTTGAACTATGGGTTGGAACGACCTCAATGGCACTTAACAACTACAATCATGGAAAACTTGGCTGGGTTGAGTTGAGCTGGACAGGATGTAATGGGGCAGGAATGAGCTATGCTAACCAGGGTTGGGCTATACTGGGCTGCTTTGAGCTGAACTGGGCTAGCTGAGTTGAGCTAAGCTGAACTGAGCTATGCTGAGCTTGACTGACTGAGTGATATTCTGCTAGGCTAATTGGGCTGCACTGAACTGGGCTGAGCTGAGCTAGGCTGAGCTTTGCTAATTGAGCTGGGCTACGTTCTATTGGGCTAAGCTGGGTTGAACTGAGCTGGTAGGACCTAGGTTAGCTGGATTGAGCTAGGCTTGTATGAGATGGGTTGTGCTGGTCTATGTTCTGCTGCATAGACTGAGTTAGGCTGACAAGGGTTATTTGGCTATTTGTACTGGACTGTGTTCTGTTGGGCTGAGTTGAGTTAGCATGAGCTAGACTAGCTGGCCTGAACTAGGCTGAGCTGAGCTAAATTGGACTGAGTTGAGGTAAACATGGCAGGTGGGACTGGACCAATTTGAACTTGACTAATCATGGAAAACTTGGTTGGGTTGGGTTGTGCTGGGCTGAGCTGAGCTGGACAGGATGTAATGGGGCAGGAATGAGCTATCCTAACCAGGGTTGGGCTACACTGGGCTGCTTGGAGCTGAACTGGGCTACCTGAGTTGAGCTAAGCTCAACTGAGCTGCACTGAGCTTGTGTAGCTGAGTGAGATTCTTCTAGGCTGAGCTGGACTGGGCTGAGCTGAGCTGAGCTAAACTGGCCTAAGCTATGCTAGATGAACTGAGTTAGGGCTGTGCTGAGCTGGACTGTGCTGTGCTGAGCTATGATGGGCTGGGCTGAGCTAGGCTAGCTTGAGCTGGGCTACGTTCTGCTACATGAATTGAACTAGTCTGACCTAGGCTGAGTTGGGCTTGGCTGGACTAGAGTGAGCTATGCTGAGCTGGGCTGAGCAGGGCATGGTGGGATGAGCTGAGCTGAGCTGGGATGGGTTGAGCTCCATTGACTGGTATGAGTTGGGCTTACCAGGAAAATCTGGGATGGAATGGGCCAAACTGAGCTAGACTAGGGTGAGTTAGATTGACCAAGGTCAACTTAGCTGGGCTAGGCTAGGCTGGGCTGAGTTGGGATGAGCTGAGCTGACATGCTAGGGCAAGCCGGACTGGCTGGACTAGGCTAGAATCCCCTGAACTGGACTGAGCTGGACTAAGTTTGCCAAGCTGTGGTGATCTGAGCTGTTCTGGGCTGAACTGTGCTGGACTAGCTGGGCTGAGCTGAGCTAGGCTGAGCTTTGCTAACTGGGCTGGGCTAGGTTCTACTGGGTTAAGTTGGGTTGATCTGGGATGGTCTGATCTCAGCTGAGATGAGCCAAACTGGGCTGTGCTGGGCCTGGCTCACTGGACTGAGCTGGACAAGGTAGTCAGATTAATGGAAGTCAATGCTTGGAGACTGGCTCAATTACCAACATGTAAGCCCCAGCATTCTGTGATCTGTCTCTCTCTGTAGCCACCCTGAGGGTACTGCAATCTCAGGTACATGCATGATACTCTCATTCCTCTTTCCTTTTGACTCTGAAGGAAATTTGGTATTTGCCAACTATCTTGCACCATGAGCTGAATGCGGCTTTTCTGAGGGTCATGAGTAGAGCAATGTGTTAGGAAGGTTGGTCTCCCAGCCTGCCATACAAAGTTGGAAGTGGGAACCAATGTAGTCTCCCTCTGCTCCACCATGCATTCTGCCCCTGACACTGGCTAAGATTCAGGTACAAATTTCTCTTCTTCTGGACTGTACCCTCACTCCAGGATTATTCCCTCATGATCCTCCCCAGCCCCAGGTGCCAGAAAATTGATCAGTAAGTGGCAGAGCTATGGTTATCAACTAGGACAAACAGCTTGAAAGCAACCTGCACCAAGTCTGTCCATGAATCTAAGGCCCTGTGGGCTAGATAGCTCTGTTCTTGGATCATGTCCAGGCCCCTGTCTGATAGCTCATTGAATCTTGACTAGGCTCCTGTCTGATAGATCTGTCCTTGGATTCTGTCCAGGCCCCTATCTGATAGCTCTCTTCATGAACCCTGTCTAGCACCATGTCTGATGCTTTGTCCACAGATCCTGTCCAGACCCTCTCTGATAGCTTTGTCCACAGACCATGTGCATGCCCCTGACAGCTCTGTCCACAGATCCTGTCCAGACGCTCTCTGATAGCTCTGTCCACAGACCATGTCCATGCCTCTGTCTGACAGCTCTATCCACAGATCCTGTCCAGGCCCCAATTTGACAGCTCTTCCATTGGATTCTGTCCAGGCCCTTCCCAAAGGCTCTGTCCACAGATCATGTCTAAGCCCCTTCCAAGGGCTCTGTCCATGAATTTTGTTCTATCCAAGGACTATATCTGAGAACTGTGCTAAAATACAGTGCGGCAGGTTCAAATCCTATATTCAAGGTATACTAGCTGTGTGACCTTGGGTCAGCCACTCAGTCACTTTGTGTGGCCCCTGAGATTGTCTTGGGGAGCACAGGAGCAGGAAGAATAGGCTGGCCTGTGCCATGTGCTGGGGCACAGGCCTGAGGGTCAGGCTCCAGGACTATATATGCTGGTCATCTCTAACAAACTGTCTTCTGTGCTGCAGATTCTGAGGCCAGTCCAAGACTCTTCCCCCTAAGCCTCCAGAGTGCTGCCCCTGGTGGGAATGTGATCATCGCTTGCCTGGTCCAAGGCTTTTTCCCATCGGATCCTTTGGAAGTGACCTGGAGTCATACTGGGCAGGGAGTGAATGTCAGGAACTTCCCCCCTGTCAAGTCTGCCACTGGAAATGTGTACACCATGAGTAGCCAGCTCACCCTGCCTGCTGACCAGTGCCTGGACACTACATCCCACCAGTGCCACGTGAAGCATTATAAAAGCCCAGACCAGGTGGTCACGGTGCCCTGCAAAGGTCAGAGGGTAGGGCTAGGAGGGGCCTCAAGACCCAAAAGACACCTTCCCCATTCCTGTGAAAAGAGACAGCAGAGGGGCAGGGTAGAAGTGGGCTTAGAGTAGAGGTAGGGAACCTTTTTTCTTCCAAAATGTATAACATCATTCCCAGGCCATATAAAGTTATAAACTTTAAGATGAGCCTGCTACATTTGGTCAAACATTTAATTAATTCATCCCTAAACAACAATGTGATGACTGGAACTGTGATTGCTTTGGCAGGGCCAGATCAAATGTTTTCACCAGCCTCATATGGTCCATGAGCTGAATATTCCTCACCCCTAGTTTAGAAGGGAGGAGGGACCCTAGGACAAGAGATGGAGACAAAGAAGAGGGAGGGGCAGTGGGGATAAGGGACTGACTCACTCTGACCTCTCTCAGCAGCAAGCTCTTGTCAGAAGTGTTGGTATTGCCAGCCACGCCTGACCCTGCACCGGCCAGCCTTAGAAGATCTGCTCCTGGGCTCAGAGGCCAACCTGACATGCACACTGAGTGGTCTAAAGGATCCCAGTGGTGCCACCTTCACCTGGCAGCCCTCAGGTGGTAAGGACGCCATACAAGGGTCTCCTGAGTATGACTCCTGCGGCTGTTACAGTGTGTCCAGCGTCCTTCCTGGCTGCTCGGAGCCCTGGAATAGTGGAGAGACCTTCTCTTGCACTGCCACCCATTCCGAGGCAGCGAACCTGCAAACTGTCACCATCTCCAAAGATTCAGGTGGGTTAGCAGAGCACAATCCTAAGTCTGCCCCCACCCAGCTTTCCTGGCTTAGGGGTTCCCTTCTAAGCTTACAAAGTAGAAACTGAGTCCTGGTAGGGTTGGCACACAGCCTGGCCTCTACCTTATCCAGCCTTTGACTTGATTTCTCACCTATAGGAAACAAGTTCCGGCCCCAGGTCCACCTGCTGCCGCCACCATCAGAAGAACTGGCCCTGAATGAACTGGTGACTCTGACATGCTTAGTGCGTGGCTTCAGTCCTAAGGATGTGCTGGTGCGTTGGATGCATGAGACCCAGGAGCTACCCCGTGATGACTACCTGACCTCAAGCCCACAGCAGGAGCCCAGCAGCGGCACTACCACCTTCGCTGTGACCAGTATTTTGCGTGTGTCGGCTGAGGCCTGGAAGCAGGGGGAAAATTTCTCCTGTATGGTGGGCCATGAGGCCCTGCCCCTGGCCTTCATGCAGAAGACCATCAACAAACTGGCTGGTAAACCCACCCACGTTAACGTGTCTGTGGTCATGTCCGAGGTGGATGGCATCTGCTATTGAGTCCTGACCCCACCCCTCAAATAAACTCCATGCTCCACAAGAAGCAACCCTGCTCTTCTATCCATCTGTCTATCTATCCATTCTGGGTGTAGGACAGAGGCAGGAAAGAAAAGACAGGCCTCTACCTGCCATGACCCTGTCAAGATGCAGTTTGCCTGCTCAGCTAGGACCTGGGTGTACCTTATCATCCTTGAATGCATATGTGTGTGAGAGAAGCAATGTATGCCCATGTGTGTGAACATTTGTGTGTAGCTGTGCAGAGAGTGAAATTAGAGGTCAGCAGACACAGCCCAGGGTGGACACATCCTAGAGTTGATACTGAAGGCATTGGTGCCATGGGAAGTTTTGCATGGGCAGTGGCTTGGCCATTCCTATTTAGAAAGTACCCTTCAACTGAGCTTGTTAGGGTGATTATTAGAGAATGTAATGGGGACAGGTGACTCAGGAAATAGGGAAGTATCACAGGAAGGCTCATCAAGGAAATAGCTGGACTGAACTCCAGGGGAAACCATGGGAAGAAGGGCAAGCCCAGGAAGCCCCATAGCTGCCTTAGTGAGTGCAGGCTTAGGCTAGGAAACACCCAAAACCAGGTGTGTTCACTAATTTAATTAGAATTCAGACCACCCCAGTCTAGCATAGCTTTCCTCACCTCCCCACATCACATTCTGTGGGCATGCAAACACATAAACACACACATCTAATATAACCACACATGCACATGAACACATATGGCTACATGTGTGTGCATGTCACTTGTACACATGTGCATAAGCACACAGTTGTGCGTACGTGTGCATACACATGCCAATGTGTGTATGAACACACACATCAAAGCCCCTGCAGGTGCAGGAAGTTCACAGCACAGACTTCAGCTCCAGGAAGGCAAAGGGAGTCCCCACCAAAGCACCGTAAATTGGCTTTCCTTCTGTCTTTCCCCAGAGCCTGGAGTTTGAGGCCCAGCCCTGCTTCTCAGACCCTTCCTGGGCCCCTTCCTGTCCCTCCCAGTGTGCCCAGCTCCACCCAGCTCAGGATCCTGTTCCATAGACTCCTCCCAGGCAGCCTATTCACCTGCTGAGCCCTAGACTCAGATGTTCAATCTCTTCCTGAGATAAAGTATGAACCTGGCAATAGAGTAGAAGGCAGGGGTGTGATATGGGTCAGAATAGGCCAAAGAGAGTCCCCAACCAAGGATAACAGCTTGCCTGAAGCTTCTGTCTAGAACTTCCCACAGAAAGGGACACTTGCAGAGACAGAGTGCAGAGAGAGTATTCCCAGACCACAGTAGGGACACCTGGTACCACCACCCCCACAAGGGGGCAGTGGGACTCCTGCTCTCACCTCAGAACCTTCCTGGTCTCTCCAGGGGGACCCAGTCATGTGGCTGCCTCCCTCTACTCCCAGGACCAAGGAAGGGTGAGGACTTCTTCCCACCCTGGCCACTACTCCCCTTCAAAGGGCAATAGTAAGAGTGACAGGTCAAATGGGGAAGTACTTCCCTAGAGAAGATTCTTCAGTCATCCCTGGGGACCCAACATGGGGCCTGAATTAATGGAGGGGCTTTCCAAAGGGAGAGGATGGATGAATAATCAATAAAAGGACTGGCTGAGCAGGTGGGCAGCAAGCACATAAGAAGGATCATAGGATATACAATAGATATATGGTGGATGAGTGGGTAGATGGTTGGATTGGTGGGTGGGTGGATGGGTCATGGCTGAATAGATTCACGTAGGATAGAAGAATGAGTAAATGGACGGGTTTATAGGTGAATGTGTGGATGGCAGTGTGAATGGACGGGTATATGAATGGATAAATGACTTTATGGATGGATTGAAGAGTGGATGGATGGTGGTTGGATGGATAGATGGATGGCTTTGTGACTGAATGGATGGATGGATGAGTGCTTGGATGTAACAGCGTATGACAAGCAGCTTCAAGTTCCATTTGACATGGGTGGTCTGTGTCCTGAGACCCTGAAGACAGCTAAGACCAGCTGTTCTAGTGGTCTTCACTTGCTCTTCCCTCAGCCTCATACCCTGGGAAGACAACAAGGGTCTCTGGAAATGTCCTAACCAGCCCTAAGCACACAGAACTACAGACTGTCTAGATAGTCCATGACACCCAGGGGCCCAAGACCAGCGTACAGCAGGGCCTGAGTGAGTGATTGCTGAGTGTGTAGGACCAAGACCCAGTAACCTTGGGCAGAGCTTCAAAGATAATGCCCTACCCTCCTATCCTCTGAAAGTCTTTCTTGCTAAAGTACCTTGAGGCCAGCCCAGACAAGGGGTCCTATTGGTATCTTGGGGTCTTCAGAGTCCAAACCCTTTTCCTGAAGACCTCCTGCCTCTTTGTCTTCCCTGAAGTGAGTCTCTGACCTGAGACAAAGGACTGCTACCCACTCTAGCCGGGGCCTGGCAGGCCCTGACTGTCTTACAGGTTGGCAAGAGTCACACCCGTGGCTGTTGCTGGACCTGCCACAAGAGAGCCTGGAGGAGACATCGGGAGACAGCCTGTGGTCCACCACTGTCACCTTCCTCACACTTTTCTTGCTGAGCCTCGTCTACAGCACAGTGCTGACAATGACCAGCATCTGGGTCCCCCAAGGCAGCAAGGAGAGTCCCCAGTACTGACTGGAGCTGCAGGCTCAGGTGTGTCTTGGGACCAGGAAGACAGGGATGGGTTCTTGGAGCATGGCAGCACAGCCCATGGGGTGCTGGTGCAAACCACCATGGCTGTTCTGGTCTGCCCAAAGATGGCCCCATCACAGACACACACACACCCACAGGCAGGTGCTGAAGTCAACATTTATGTCACCTAGTCTGGGACAGTGCAAGGACATCAGGACTTTTCCAGCCTCTAGGGAGCCCCACCTGGAGGGAGAGTGGTCATTGGAAAGACCCCATGCAACCTCAGGACCATCCCTGCCCAGACACTAGCATCTGCCTCTGTGTCCACAGGTGGAAGCACCATGGAGCCCTGGAGAAACCTGCTCAGGATGCCAGAAATCGACTCTGCTCTGAAGACCCCACTGCCCCTACACTGCCTGCCCTATGCAATAAACATATGTGAAAAGCAGCTCTCACAGACCAGTATAAGAGGAACAGGGATAGGGTAGAATGGAGAGGGCTGAGAACAGTGCCATATGACCCAATAAATAAGATGTATACAGGTTTATTTGTGCTTATTAAGTTGCAGTGAACAGTTTCATTTTTTGTACCACATCAAAGATTCTGCTTCTTGGTGTGACTGGCACCTGTCTTTCTCCTAACCGCATAGCACCTTCCTACAGAACCAAAGCCTCTTCTCAAATGTACAGTTCCACAAAGGGACAGAGTACACAGAAATCACAGTACACATGGACTTACTTATACTTACTTACTAATCTGTTATGAAACCCATGTGAAATTGTTTACTATAAATTAACAAGTAAGCACAAGTAAGTCCCTGCTTATCTTGATTATTGGGTAATCATTCCCTAGTTAGGATTCAATCTGGGCAATGCATGTCTGTGAGGCATGATGAGGGACACAGATGGGATTCCCAATCCCTTTAGCGAACCTGATAAAATCAAGGGCATAAACTAACTGGAACCAGGTATAAGTGTGACATGGCCCACAGGACAGTATGCATAAAGATAGTCCCACAACTTAAGGGTCCTGTCTTGATCACTCAGTCCCATTCCTGATAACCATGCCCTTGTCCTGATCACTGGGGACCCCTGTGGTGATCACATAGCCTCTATCTTGTCAACCTGGCATCTCCTGAGCACTCAACAGTTTCCCCAGCCCCTATCCTTAACACTTGTCCCCAGGCATGATCACTCAGCCTTGTTCTCCTTTGTTGACTTTATTGTCCTTTGTTGACTCAGCCCTTGAACTGGTCAGGGGGTCCCTGAAATGATATATAGTATGTGGGCCCCTATTCTGATCATAGAGTCCCTTTTTCTGCTCATTCAGTCCATGTGCTGATCACCTGGCTCCTAAAGTGATAACCCGGGCCCTTGTTCTGATTACAGAGTCCCTAAACACATCACTCAATCCCTATACTGAGCATTGACCTCTTTAATGATCACTCAAACCATGCCCTGATCACTGGGCCCAGTTGTGATCAGTAGTCCCTGTTGTTGTCACTCAGTCACTGTCCTGTCCATGAGAACCACACCTGACATGGCTCAGAGCAGACCAGACCCATAGCTCAGGCCAGTTTGGGCCATACCTGGATCCCTCAGGCTATGAGAGTCACCAGGCATACTGATAGTACAGGACGGTATAGGGATCTGGAGACTGGAGGAGGGAAGGGGGAAATAAATGTGTTTGTGTTCTTGTTTTTCTTTCTTCTCAAGCCTCCTACATCCACATTGCTTGCTAAAACACCAAAAATAGACCCCTGTGTCTCTGAGTCATTGTGAACATAGCCCAGGTGTCCTGACCAGAGTCCCTACAGTTGTGAAAATCATACCTCCAAACCAAGACCTGGTTTAGTAGTCTGTGCCTGGCTGGGAAAGGAGGCAAGGCTAAAGGGGGAATTCCAGAGTAGTGAGCTACTCCAAGACCTGCTGAAGGCCTCAGCCTCCACTGTGCACCAACTCTCATCAGTTCAATATTACCAAGGGCCAGCCAAGGTCTGTCCAATGTCAGCCACATCCAACCAGGGTCAGTCCAGTGTCTGTAGAGTGTTATTATTGTGTCTTCTTGCATGGGACCTCAGCCAAAGACAAGGTGTTCTGCATGTAACCCACAAAACACAGCACCAGTGACACAGCAGACCTGAGTCCCACACAGTTCCATCTCCTGCTCTCAGTGTCCTGTTCCCCAGAGTGAGACACAAACTGGGGATTCCACCAGACACTGGCCACCTGCTATGTCCAGGACAAGCATGAATCAGCTTGGGGCAGACCCTGCATTCTATGTGCATACTCAAGTGCTTGAGATGAGATTATCAAGCCATAGAAAGAGATAGAGAGGATGGGGACACAGAGAAACCCTGAGAGAAATGGGGACTCA